TAATTTTCTCATTGAATGTTCTATTTTTCTGTTAATCGTGTTTAGACATTAGAAAAGACTGATGCATCCGTCAGTGTTTATTCACTCGTTGCAAACCATACTCTTGGAATTACTCTTTAAATTAGTGGATGTGTTCAAATGCAAATTTGAACATAAAGACTACATCAAAAGAGGGCCACACTATATTCATTCCAAGCATTCTTGGCAACAGTAGGGGGGTAGCATTTGGAAAAATAAAAATTTAAAAAATTGGTCAAGCTATTGTTGTTACAGATTTGAGGGGGCTATGGAGAAACACCTTATAATAAATTGCCTAATAAATGTATTCTGGAGCTCTGTAAATGTAAAGTAGGTTCTAAAAAATAGAACCTGAAAGTGAAGTGAATCAAAAGAACACCAGGTCCCTCTCTCTTAATATCTCATTTTGTTTGTTTGTTATGAATTTGGGGGTGGCATTAGTTGACCAAAGCAAGTCAATTAAGTTTGAGGAAAAAAGGAAATAACTCCTTTTAAATAAATGTGAATGTTTAAAAACACAAAGTCTGTAATGAAACAGTGAATTAAAGTTTTTCTTTCTGTGAAATTTTTAGAATTAGAAAATCTTGATCGCCAAAGTAGACAAATATTCTATACTAGTTGTTGTCCTTAGGATAAAAAAATGCACTTTACTTTTAGTAATGTTGCCAAACTACTTTTTGTAAATTTATCTTTACCTTAGAATAGAACACTAATTACAGCAACAGGGATCATGTGGCAGAAGTGTTTATGTTCCCTGTATTCCCAGGGTGCATGGTATTAGAAATGGTTTGTTAGGTTTTTTTGTTTTCAAGTGAGATTTGTTGTGGGGCACAGCGGAAAAGTGCAGCCAGAGTCCTGTTCTTACCATGTTCTTGTCTGAGAAGCCAGTGCAACACTGCATGTCATATGCATCGACAGGATCTAGTTGCAATACTTTGAAAATGAAATCTGTGCTTTGACAACAGCCGTCATTCTAGATTTAATAATTTTTATGTCTTTCTTGGTTGCATACACAACGTTCTTCTTCGTTTCCTTATGGTGTGTTTTGCAAGTAGGTCTTTGTGTTTGACAGTTTTACTCACTGACTTTGGTTACAATGGCAACAGAAAAGTCAAAATTCACAGCAAAGATTTAAGTAGAGAATCTGTGTCTTAGAATGTCCTTATTTAGTTTTAGAAGCAGAGCTAGTAAACACCAATTTTGCTTCTTAGCTACTCATGAAAAAATAGTAACTAGTTGAAGCTGTTTTTACCTTCTACAAAAAAATTGTGTCACTTAAATTTTTCATCATATAATATGCAAATCATTGCAGATTTTTTTTGTTTGGATGCCTAGTATTGGTTTATTGATAGACTTAGCAAATAAAAATTGTGAACCATTACTTCTTCACCCTGTTGCTTTATTTAAAAGCTCTGGAGACTGTAAATGTTCACATGTTCTACTGAAGGATTGCAAAAGTAACATTCATTTATAACATTCGAAGGATTATTCATGGAAAAATTATGCAAAGGAAAAAAACCAGTGAGATCCTTTGGGACATGTGTAAACTTTTCCAAATGTTCTTGCCACAGACCGCTAAACAGTACTCAGTTCATTCTGATGAAGTTGTCTTACATTCCCTACTGCAAACAATTTTTAATAACGTTTTAATATTTTTATACGTTATTTTTTCTACATGTCAGCATAGACTTGAAAATGATGTTGAGAAATAATGAAAACCAAACTAACCCTTGTTACTGCCAGCTGACTGGAAAATCCTACTAAGAGTGCTTTGTCTCCATGAAAGGCAAAAAAAAACAGAATAGCAATCATGGTAACAGTATGCACTAGGAGTGGAGCCAGGAGAGTTAAGAGAGTTAGTAGTAGCAGATGACTTCAGTTGTTGGAGGGAAAAAAAAAAAAAAGAGAAGGGGGGGGGGGGGGGGAAGGGCAAAATAACTCATTCTCAAATGAATTTAAGTTTTGGAGTTTTGTTATCAGCAGTCTCAGGCATTGTCCCCCAGCTAATTGCTCAGCAGTCTGGTATGACCATAAACGTCCCTTGGTCTGTGCAGGTTTCATCAGCATCTCACCACTTACCCTCCTTGGCATACTTCTTGGCACAGGCTTTCTTATATTTTACCCCTTTACAGAAACGAGGTCATCTCCCCTGTGCTCCATAACTCATGCTGACACCCTCTGCGCCCCCTGTCTTCTTACTGAATTGACTGTACCCTGCAGCAGTGTTCCAGTCTAACGAGAGTTCTGAACTTCTCAGTTCTTCTGCATAGACATTTGACAGCCAAGCAGATGTAAAGACTTCATAAAGGTTTATAGGCTCAGATTCTTTTTGTCTTAACCCAGAGTTAACAGAGACAAACTGTATATATTTTCTTCTCTTGCCTTGGAGATGAAGAAGATACAGAACTATGTAGAAAATGGTCACTCCAGAGAGTATCATCGGCATATCTGATACTTGTCTTCACCTTCTCCCACAAAACATTCTGTTTTCATTGGGATCTTCCCTGAAGACACCTAACTAGGAATTAGAATAAGTCCATTATCTCCTTTCACAGGACTGATCAAAGCAATTGTAATGTCTAATGGTAAGGAAGCCAGGTTGGAACTGTTGGCTTAAATTGTAAGGCTCCTACACCTATTCCAACAAATTCTGTCACCACTGGGACACCTCAACTTACTCGGGCAGTATTTTAACCTGTACTGAAGTCTGATACAACAGGTTTTATATCAGTCCTCAGTATGAGATGCACAGTCCTCTTAGTCATATTACATCATTTGTTTCACTTCTTTTTAACAAACTTTTTCTTTTCTCTGTCCAGGTAATAAAAGCTCTTGCTATAATTAACTTATAATGATTGCAAATATTTTTGTTTCTGTTATATTCATAGTGTAAATTTTACCCCATGCTTCTGAAGTGGGGATTTCATTTCCTAAACTAAAGTGCACTGTAGATTCTCAAAGATCTATTATTGTTGATAGACATCATCTCTATTTTTTATTTAGAGGCTTTTGTTACAGATAATGTTTGAACCTATATACTACCTGGAGATAAAGCCAACTTTCTTTGATTTTGTTATGGCTTGATTGTGTCAGCACAAAGCTTGCTATATTGCTGTTTTTTTCTCTAGATAGATGTTTTGATGTAGTCTCCTTGCTTTGTGTCAATGAACATTGTCTTAGAATCAAACTAATTGAACAGTCTTACTGCTTTGAGTTTAGTGACTTTCCGTGGTAAGAAACTTAATCCTTTAAACTGTTATGTATTACATCTAAATAACTTTGTTAAATTTTCTATGGCATAGTGGCTGTGTGAAAAAGCACTGCAATATACTAGTACTCATTTAAGGCTGTGCTTTGAGATTGCTATTCTTTAACAGGCTGTAGTTTCAACAATTTATTAAACATTGTTTCAGTAGCTCTCAGTGAACTGTAATGTCATCCACTTAAAAGGATTTAATGTAAATCATGATTTAGAACTGGCAATAGCACCAGAGAGAAAGAACTGAACAACACAACAGGTAGCCATAGAAAACTGAAACAATCCTGTAGCCACATTAAGGGGCATCACACTTTCTGTTTATACTCTAACTGGTGCTCAGCCTCCATGGCAGAAGAGGAGAGTGAACCTTCTTCATCTTGGGGAAAAAGCTTCTAACGTTTTCATAGAAATGCAACATCTTAATTGAAAATGTAGCAGAACATTGTACTCAGCCTTTTTCTTCTGACCTCCCAGGCATATGGTTCTGGTTGAATCTCTGGATCAAGAAATGATTAAAAGTGCATTTTTTTAGAATTGCATGTGACCTTTAAACATAAGACATAGTCTGAAGCCACATGCCAGTGACTCATGCTACTAGTGTCATGTTTCACAAATTCTCAGTTGTGATAAACAAATGGTAGCAAAGCCAAGCAGGCAAAAATCCCCTCCTATATATGATGGTGTACAGGAAGAAGGCAGAAAACAGGGTTTAGTGTGTTTTCTCTTTTTCTTCTTTTCTCCTCCCACTAAAGGATGATCTGATGAACGGTGTTACTGAAAATTCTTCTAATGAACTTAATTTCTTCTCTTGGCTGCTAGAAAGTTTCCTATTTCTTCTTGTTGTGAGGCTTTTTTGTTTGTTTGTTTGTTTGGTTGGTTGTTTTTTTTTTGGATCTGTTTTGCTGCTACCTAATCTGTATGAAGGCTGGAAATAAGCAGGTGCGGGGCAGACAGCCACTTTCATGACCGCCATTCCCACTTCTGTCATGAGTAGCAACATCACAACCAAATATTTATCAGTGAAATCTTAACTGTTTATTGTGAAGCCAAGAATAGCCTTGCATTCACTGAGTATGATGATAGGACTTGTTGTTCACTGCTGTATTGCAGAGTTCGTTGCTGATCTTTTGCAAACTGCATCAAGGAACTGGAACAAGAATATCTTGTCCACATTTTCCATGGGGCCTCATAAAATGTGTTAAATGAGAGGAAGAATAATTGCAATGAGACATTGCTAAAGCTCATAGATGAGTGAGAAATAATACATCTGTCTGGACATAGATACGTGAAAAGCCTCTGCTTTCTCTTACATGCTTAAACAGTGAGTCAGTATAAGCAGATTGTTTACAATTTATTAACAACATAGAGTTGTGAGTAAAACACTCCCTGCTCACACCCGAGGTACAAACGGACTGTATGGTTCTGCATGTTACACTTCAGCACATCCAGCTTTTTTAAGGGTGCCAAGATTTTTTTGTAGGAGTTTATTGTTGAAAGTATGTGCAAAGCTGTTTTAAAAATTGCTTCCAGGCAGTTCAAGTATATAGAGATGAATTCATAGTAGAAATGGATGCTATAACCCCAACGTGGAAGAAATACTTACTCAGAAATGGTGTGTTCAGTATATCTGTAGCAATTAATTTTAATCAGCAGCTAAACACACAAGCCCATGACATTTATGGGTTTTGCATCACTTCAACGTTAAATTATGTGTGTCTTTTAGGTCCATCTGAAGTGTCAGCAATTATGAAATTCAGCAGGAGACCAACATGTCCTGATGCCTCAGTAGCAGCAAGTCTTCCTACACCTCCAGTACCAAGGCACAGGAAGAGTCACAGCCTGGGAAACAAGTGGGTGTACACCAGGCTGTCTCACCATCAGGCAATTTTGCACATCACAAAGGTTTAATCTGGCAGCAGAACGCTCTTTGCTTTTGCCTCCTCCCTTTCCTGTATTGCAGGAGAGTTTCAGGCTTTAATGTCTATTTTGTAGGTTTTCTCTTTATGCTTTGTTTACACTGTTCTCTACTAGTGCTAGAAATTGTCAGTACCCCAAAGTTGTATAGCTACTTTGGCCTGTGGACACCTGGTTTGCAGAACCGTATTTTATTTGTTTATTTATTTATTAACATCTTGACTAATAAATCTAAGGAAACATACTGGCTTCTTGGCACTCATTATCATTCAGGAAAGTTGTGACCTTTTGGACTGTTCTATAGGTTAGAAACATTTTTCTCTGTACCGCTTAACAGCTAAGTAAGAGCTCCCCAGTTAAGGGTAGCATATACCAAATTTCACATTTAATGGGTTAATAAAAAAGTAGTTCGCATAATTGATGTGTTAGTTCAGCTTAGTGTATGATCACTGAGAAGTGCCTTAGATGGAGCCTGCTTGTTTCTTCTACCTTTGCATCTACCCGTGATGTTCACATACTGTACAGAGAGGAATAAAAAACTTACATAGTTTCCCATTTGCAGAGAAGTAATCATTGTTACTTAAAAAGGCTGCTAAAATTTGAAACTTGTTCAGGTAGTCAAGGAGCATATATAGAAGCAGCGTGAAAACGAGCAGTACCATTTATCTGCTTGCTACTTAATAACCCATAGATATTTATGATCATTGTATGATAAAGCAAAGTCTAAGCAGAAAAATCAGACAGGGTTGTTATCAGATAGCATAAGAAGATTCTTGCATTTTCCTCTCTATATTTTTCCAGCATGATGTGTCAATTCAGCATAGTGGAGAGCAAAAGTGCCACCTTCCCGACGGAGAAGCCACGCCACCTTCTGGATGACAGTGTCCTGGAGTCGCACAGCCCAGCCCGCAGCCACGCACTGAACTCAGTTTTCACCAATGGCATTTCAATAGGTAGAGTCTGGGGGGGAATTGATATACCTTTTTTTGGGTCCCAGTTCTCTGGAAACTCTGAGAGATCCCCAAAAGCAGGAAATCATGAAGGTTATTAGCTCCTGGGCAAAAATTGATCCCTTTTATAGGAGAAATTAAATCAGAGCTACTGCTCAGATATTTAGTCAACTTTATCTCAACTTTCCAGAATTACCTAGTGATGGTTTTGATAAAAGTGGCATGAAGGAGCACTTTCTTCCTATATGTTCTGTACATAACACGGAGTGTTTGTTAGTCTTCACAGGTTAAAAAAAAAAAAAAAAAAGTGCTACTGCCAAGACAGTATATATTCACAAAGAATATATTTCTTTTACAAAGAAAACTAGTTTTAATGATGTATTTTAGAAGGTGAGAGAATAATTTAGCTACACTCACTGAGACATGAAAGAAGCTTAAAATAAACTTGTGAAAAAGGTTGATGGCAATAACATTATGGTATTATAATTAACTAACTATAATAATAAAAACATCAATAATCTGTATTCTAAGCAAAAGAAAGGCAACCTTTTATGTGACTTAGGCTATTTCTAGAATAAGAAATAGACTGCAAAGGCTAGCAGAATGCTTAATCAAGGAGAGCTTGACACTAAGATGATCTTTGAACTTCTGAAAATACAGCCACAGTTCACTTCAGTGTTATACTGAGCATTAGAGCATCTCTCTTGGACATATTAAAACTGAGTTAAATAGTTATGCAAGGGAAGGAGGGACAAATTGGTCATAGGCTTCAAAGAGAAAAAGGGATTATCATTGTGAATTCCATCACATTGATTTGTTATGGCTCCTAACAGCAGCTGGCATACCGTCTGTTACAGGTGTGCTTGCTTGTTGAAAACAAATAATGCTACCTTGTCTAATAACTTTGAATTACAGATGTTGAGGTAGAAATACTGCTTTACAAAGTGATTGTATTTTGTGTTCTTGAAGTATTCAGCTTTTTAAGGAAAGGCAACATAATTAAAAGAAAAGTAACATGCAGATATCTGGTATTTAAGCACAGTAGCAATGATGACTTCATTCATCAGTGAGAAATTATAAATAGGCTGATGTAAGCCTCTTCCAATTTTAGATGTTACCATGGTCTCTAAAGACCAACTTGGAAACATGATTTCAATGAGCAATTTCCATGATAGTATATAAAAATTATTCTGGTGAGCCACATACAACAGCTTTTTATTGGTGGTTTTCTTACTCCTTCTCTGTACTCCTCTTTTTCTAGATAGCAGTGAAAGCTCAGAATTTAGTGAGGAGCTGTCATCAGGGCTTGAAAGGTGAGTTAGTTTTTGTTTACAGTCACTGAGCGCTATACAGATTTAGGTGATAAATTCCTGAATGATCCCTAGCATAGATAAGCACTAAATAGTGATTTTTATCAAATTATTGATCAGCTAATAAAAAATTGAAGACATTTTTGACGTAAAGTTCTGTCAGGTTGTTGTGTTTTTCTTCCCACGGACCTGAAAAAATTGGGAAATACCTCTTTTATGTTTACCAAACCCTAATTGTTGAAGTCTCAAACTAGACTTTAATTATCAGATATTTACATTCACAAACAGGGGTCGTTTGTACGCCACACTTGGGCCTAACTGGAGGGTACCAATCCGGAATTCTCCCAGGAGTCGAAGCTGTGTCTACAGGTACAGTTCAGGCCTACTTTGCTCAGTGTATGGTGCTAAACTTTTATTTGTGTCTCTGCTCTTTCCTAGATCAAAAAGGTATTTTGTGTCTTAAAGTATTCTTGTGTGACTGTATCAGCTTATGTGACTTTTTCTGTCCCACTTGTAAACATTCCTGTTAATGCTAAAACAGTGTCAGGGCCAATTCAGATGAAATTCAGTTCAGGTGCTGATTGAACTGGTAATTACACCTGGCTTCCATATTGCAGAAAGCTGTTGTTTACTTTTGAGTTCTGTCGACATTTATCAGCAGTCCTGGCAATCGGGGAAGGTCCCAGTAAACTGGCGGCTAGCAAACGTGATGCCCACGTACAAGAAGGGCCGGAGGGTAGACCCGGGGAACTATAGGCCTGTCAGTTTGACCTCAGTGCCAGGGAAGTTCACGGAGCAGATTGTCTTGAGTGTCATCACGCGGCACTTACAGGGCAACCAGGTGATCAGGCCCAGTCAGCATGGGTTTATGAAAGGCAAGTCCTGCTTGAAGAACCTGATCTCCTTCTATGACAAAGTGACGCGCTTGGTAGATGAGGGAAAGGCTGTGGATGGGGTCTACCTTGACTTCAGTAAGGCTTTTGAGACCCATTTCCCACAGCATTCTCCTCAAGAAACTGGCTGCTTGTGGCTTGGACTGGCATGTGCTTCATTGGGTTAAAAACTGGCTGAATTGAGTCAAATCCAGTTGGAGGCCAGTCACTAGTGGCATTCCCCAGGGCTCGGTACTGGGGCCAGTCCTCTTTAATATCCATATTGATGATCTGGATGAGGGGATCAAGTGCACCCTCAGTAAGTTCGCAGATGACACTAAGCTAGGTGCGTGTGTCGATCTGCTCAAGGGTAGGAAGGCTCTGCAGGAGGATCTGGATAGGCTGGACCGATGGGCTGAGGTCAACTGTATGAAGTTCAACAAGGCCAAGTATCGGGTCCTGCACCTGGGGCGCAATAACCCCAAGCAGAGCTACAGGCTGGGAGATGAGTGGTTGGAAAGCTGCCTGGTGGAGAAGGACCTGGGGAGTATTGGTTGATAGTTGGCTGAATATGAGCCAGCAGTATGCTCAGGTGGCCAAGAAGGCCAACAGCATCCTGGCTTGTATAAGAAGCAGTGTGACCAGCAGGTCTAGGGAAGTGATTGTCCCCCTGTACTCAGCTCTGGTGAGGCCGCACCTCGAGTACTGTGTTCAGTTTTGGGCCCCTTGCTACAAGAAGGACATGGAGGTGCTTGAGCGAGTCCAGAGAAGGGCGACAAAGCTGGTGAGGGGTCTGGAGAACAAGTCAAGGAGCAGCTGAGCCTGGAGAAAAGGAGGCTCGGGGGCAACCTTATCGCTCTTTATAAGTACATTAAAGGAGGCTGTAGTGAGGTGGGGGTTGTTCTATTCTCCCATGTGCCTGGTGACAGGACGAAGGGAAACAGGCTAAAGTTGTGCCAGGGGTGTTTTATGTTGGATATTAAGAAGAACTTTACTGAGAGGGTTGTTAGGCATTGGAATGGGCTGCCCAGGGAAGTGGTGGAGTCACCATCCCTGGAGGTCTTTAAAAGACATTTAGATGTTGAACTTAGCGACATGGTTTAGTGGAGGACTTGTTAGTGTGAGGTCAGAGGTTGGACTCGATGATCTTGGGGTCTCTTCCAACCTAGAAAATTCTGTGATTCTGTGATTCTGTCAGTTTTATGACATTACAGAAGCAGGTTTGTCATGAAGGCTATATTAGCATTTAGATTGACTTGTTTTTAATAAAATTATTTGTGATGAATAATGAGGTTAGAAGGATGCCTTCTCTACCCTTTCTCAAAATTTCCTTCTTGACTTGTAGGACAGCTACCCATAACATCCATTTGTGTCAGAGAGCATTAGTAGGATGTGTTGGTTTTGTGCAGTATAGAGGTGTGACCTTGGACCCAGAGTAGGCGAGGTAACAACTGCAATGCATATGTAGCAGGTACTCACAATACTGCTAGTCACTAAGCCATGGACTTTTCAGAAACAGGTAATCCATTTACAACCCAAAGAGATGTGATGTGGAAAATAGTGTGTAGTTAGTCATAAAATAATTTAAAAAAATAAAATAAAATGATTGCATTCATACCTGTTGGAACTTGATAAATTCTATGATAGTTGGAAGTGAAGAAGTATATATAAGCAGTAAAGAAAATAGGGCCCGGGTACAGTATTCTGCAAATACTGAGACATAGTTTGAGTTAAAATCCAGTCAGTTTTTATTTTGTCTATATTATTTTACTATGGCTTTTGTAGAAACATTGATATAATACATAAATGTAAGTACAGCCATTTTACCTGAGCTAGTAACATCTGACAGCAGCACAAGTCAGAAGTTGTACAGGATTGTAAATACATGTATATACATTATAAATAAATAAAGGAGTAACATTTAAACAATATTTCAGTTACACCTGCTTCTGAAAAATACTCCCTTATGCACCTCTGTATAACAATACTGGGAAGAATACACATAGCACAGACAGGGCAGTTCCATTTGATCAAAGTAGTTGTACCTGCCAGTTTGAAGTGCAGGTCTTGTATAGGTAGGTGCTGCTGTGTATATCACATTCAGTAGCCTGTGTTTTTATGGTACCATCTGACTTGTTCATATACAGAATGATGTTTCTTTTGCAACTGACTGTGAGATTGTGTGCATGTCCTTTTCCTTGTATTCATTATCAGACATGATTTAGTTGTCTCTGATAAACTTCATTGGAACTTAGATTTACAAAATATCAGGATTGGGATTACATGACAATGAAGAGAGGTTAGCAGCAGATAATTTTAGTAGATCATCACTCACTAATCAATCTTTGGTTGTTATTAGCAACTGTTTATATTTCTAACTTAGCCTGTACTTGGGTTCTTTCAGTTGCAGCACTTTTTATTGTAGCATGTGGGAAGCTCTATCAGGAAGCCTCTGTCAAGGCTATATGGACTCTTTACCAGGGATTTGACTCTTTATTTGGGAGTGTAGTGATAGGACAAGCTTTAAACTAAAAGGCGGTGGATTAGATATAAGGAAGAAACTCTCTGCTATGAGGGTGATGAGGCAATGAAACAGGTTGCCTAGAAAACTTAGGGATGTCCCACCCTTGGAAGTGTTTAAGGCTAGGTTGGATGGGGCTTTGAGCAACCTAGTATAGTGGTAGGTGTCCCTGCCAGTGGCAGGTGGATTGGAACTAGATGGTCTTTAAGGTTCCTTGCAACCCAAACCATTCCATGATTCTATGTTTGTACAGGGTATGAAAATAATATTTTAATCACTGTACAATAACAATTTGTTACTGTTACTTAGTTACCTCAACTTTTTTTCCAATTAGCCAAGGTAACGTCATATATTTGTTTTTGATAGCTAAAGCTTCTTTTAAGGTAAAATTATATTTGTGGGAGCTCTTATTGCTGAAATTTTAAGCTATTAATTTTCAGAAATCCAGATAATTTAATTTACCAGAATAAAAACTGAAACTTGCTGAATTTCCCTTTGGCTTCAGGCCTTAGTATTTATTTTGCTTTATTTTTGTTTTATTTTTTATGTCTAAGCCCCGAGAATAGAATCTTTTGTTAACCTCCGATTTTTAAAGATTCTGCTTCCCTTTAGATGTCTAGGTCTGGAAAATACATATTTATAGGGTCAAATGTCTAGTGATAAAGTATATTCAAGGCAATACAGGAAAAGTATTAGAGTTAATATTTAGAATTATATTATTTACCTCTTGTCCTTCTTTAGCTCAAAACATATGGTAATGTTACGTCTCTCTAGCCCAACAGGGGCCGGCAGCTACACATTAGGTAGTTCTACAGGAGTCATTTCCATGGAAGGGCCATTAAGGAGAAAAACACTGCTCAAAGAAGGCAAGAAACCTACTGTAAGTGATTCCGTTCTCCCTGTGATTCTAATTCAGTTGTGATTGTTTTAATTTCTAGGATTACATTCAACTTGCAGACTGATAGTACACAAAATAACATTCCTTGTTATTACCAACTGTAAAATCATGTGGAAAGTTTTAACTAGGATATAACAAGGTTGTAATTCTCGCATGTCATTTGATTTACAGCAGCTTTGTTTCTCCCTTCATTTGCACAAAATGTCTCTTGTGGCAGCAAAGCAAGTCCCAGACAACATTCTAAATCAGCATGCATTTCTGTGGGGGCAGAAATATAGTATCATGGTGAAATGGGAAGGCTGCTAAAGGTGGATGCCCTTAGCATCCACCCTTAGCATCAAAGTCATGGTCATTCATACTTACCCTAAATTCACAGGTCTCCAATGGTTCTGGTCTTATGCACTTGATAATTTTTTGTTTTCCTTAGAGTTAAATGAAAGTTTGTATGTGGAACCCTACTGTTCAATACCGAAAGATTTGAAGCATTGCAGAAATGTCATCTCAATAAATGTTACTGATCAAATGAAGATGTCTAAGTTTTGTCCAGTAGAAGGCAGCATGCTACTTTGAGAGAACTTCTTTAAAGAACTTCTTTACTGAGAGGGTTGTTAGGCATTGGAATGGGCTGCCCAGGGAAGTGGTGGAGTCACCATCCCTGGAGGTCTTTAAAAGACGTTTAGATGTTGAACTTAGCGACATGGTTTAGTGGAGGACTTGTTAGTGTGAGGTCAGAGGTTGGACTCGATGATCTTGAGGTCTCTTCCAACCTAGACAATTACGTGATTCTGTGATTTGCTGTGAAGCAATCAGTCCTGATACTTTTAGGAGATACCCGAGTAAGATAAGGCAGGGGTGTTGTAATTAGATGATCTTTAAGGTCCCTTCCAATCCAAACCATTCTGTGATTTTATGAAGATGGATTGCATTCACAGCCAGAGACCTAAATTTAGGTATTTGGTTTGATTTACACCAGAAGACACTCTTTATCTAACTTTCCATTCCTGGCTTCTAAACTTACCTTTAGTAGCACTTGGACTTGCTATTAAATATATTTTTTAAATGTCTGAGATATGCTAAGGTTCTATTATTGTTTTCCTTTCTGATTCAGCTCTCTTCATGGACTAGATATTGGGTTATGCTTTCAGGATCAACTCTTCTGTACTTTGGAGCAAAATCTTTACGAGGCACTGAAAGAAAACATGTAAGCTTTAAATTTGTTCTAAAAGCAAAAATTGCATATTCATAAGCAGATCTGAAATGGTATTCGAAGAGTATTTGCTTTTCTAGGGTAAGCAATATGTCTGCACAACTTTTGCAATGAGAAATTAATCCCTAGTACAGACTCAGCTCTGACTTATTTGTCTGTCTCTTCCAGTATAAATCTACACCTGGTAAAAAGGTTTCCATTGTGGGCTGGATGGTTGCACTGCCTGATGACCCTGAACATCCTGATATTTTCCAGCTAAATAACCCTGATAAAGGTAGATATTGCAGGGTGGGCATTCTCTGCATTATATTCCTATGATGGGGAGTAATAGCTATTGCTGAGTTTGTAGATGACAATACTTACAGTGACACTCACTTAAAAGAATGACGAGAGATTTTCAGGGAAGGATACAAATGAAGTTGATCATACTTCTATAATACCCTGAGGTACTTCTGTGGTGTCTGCAGAGGTACTGCTGCACAGACAGTTACTGTAAGTTTTGCAAAAATTGCCAGACCGGTGTTAGATTTTGGTAAGTATTTGTACCTGCATACCCTAATCCCTGAGTTCTGAATAGCTTTCTTTAAATTCACCTATATCAAATCTTGACTTACAGAAAGGAAAGCTAAAATATTATGAAAGTTCTCCAAACATCAAACCATTTACCAAAAAAAAAAAAAAAAAAAAAAAAGACAATTTTTAATAATTATTTTTGAAGGGCTGTAATTCTTCCACTTTGATCCAACTTTAAACAAAGTTCAGAAAGACTCTGGGATTATTTTGTACTTTTGAGTGGTTGCATTAAGATTTCTGAGGCTTCCTTCAGTTCTCATGTGGTCAGTTTCTGTACTGGACATGGATTCACATCTTTGATAAGTGCATCTCTTGGTTGTTGAATAAAATGCATAATGTGTTTGATAGCAAAAAATAAAAATAACAATTACAAAAAAACTAATCGTGGAGGAAATGTGCAGTAGGACACTGAAGGAAACTAAGTTTCCAAATATCAGAAACATTCTTATAAGTTTGGCAGTAACTGCAAAAGTCGTAATGAAAAGAAAGCCAGGAGTAAATTAGATCACCACACTGTTCTATCCAGACCTTTCTGTAGCTGTAATTTTGCCTCTCTCCCTACACACTCTCCTTAGCTTTGCAGAGCACTTATGTTCTCATGCTGCCTTCACCCAAGGATTGTTGGATAACATGCCTCACATGGGCTCTATTGTATGAGCACTGTGCTGTGTTAATTTTGTACTTCAAATGCTCATTAACAGTTTACTTAACAAATTCATTGTCTGCACAGGATTTAGAATTCACTGAAGCAGTATGTCTGCAAGTTTAGAGCCCTCTATTCTCTTATTTTTATAGGCAATGTTTACAAATTCCAGACTGGTTCAAGGTTTCATGCAATATTATGGCATAAGCATTTGGATGATGCATGCAAAAGCAACAAACCTCAGGTAAGGCTGTGAAACTATTTCTACCTACTTTTTCCTATTTTTCAGAAAATCCTTACTACCTCTTTTAAATGTGTGCACACAGTCCTCTGGGGACAGACATAACTCCTTATTTTGTACATTCTTCCAATTTTTCAATAGGAGGAATGAAAGCTTTTTAGAACTGTAGAATTTCCACACCAAATCAGGATTTGTCACGGTTTACCTGTAGGATAGGTGACCCTAACAGTGTTATATTAATAGGATGATGATGCATATAGGAGATATACACATACATACACACACGTATAGGATATATAACAAGATGCAGCTCAAGAATCCTTTTTACATGCACAGCCTCCCAACTCTCCACCCCCCCCCCCCCCCAATGACTTCTTAGGATACTTTGTCTGGATTTGGTCCACAAGTAGAAAAATCATTTGAGTCTTTATCTTTCCTTTCAGTTACAGGGTTAGCCCTCTTTTGGGCATTTGTGACTGATGATACTTTTTGCATTAGATAATAAATTATCAGTACACTGTATTTTGCTGCTTCCCAATGCTGTAATATGATCAGGAGCAATACACTGTTGAATAATTTACGTTTTCTTCCAGGTACCTGCTAATCTAATGTCATTTGAATAATTTGCTCTCTTACCTGCTGTGACTTCAAGTGCCAAACTGAAGAAACAGGTTATTGTTCTCTAAGGAGGAAGAGGAGAAAAGAATGGTTTCCCTGATGTGAGCCAGCCACAGCTGTTTCAGCACTTTCCTATGTAACTTGAAAGTGATTCTGAAACATCTTTTAAAAGCAGAAAATGAATGTTGTCCTTAGGACCAGACATAGTCTCATGCACTGAGTGAAAGAAAAGTTAGATGGACAGAAAATTAATCCTGACTCCTGCAGGATTCTAGAGCACTCAACTTTTTGTGGTCACAGACTGTCCCTGAACTGATGTTTGACCACAAACTGAGCATCACATCTTCTGCCTATCCTTTTTTAAACGGTTATTTTTATTGTTAAGCTGCTTTGTGTGACTGAAGAACATTTGGCCCATGTTGGGTTTCAATTCTTTCTAATGCACAGAATGATTGACAGTGTTAACTTGCTGCAGAGTGTCAATTAGAATAGAAAATTGTGGAACAACGTTTTTATAACCTAAGTGCACTGAGTTGCTTGGCAATGTGGCTGCCTCAGATTTTGTATCAAATCTCTGGACAATTCTGCTGTTCACATTTGAGCTATTTGGAAAAAAGGTATTTTGGCACAGGGCATTTTCTTTTCATTCCGTTATGACACTCAGAAATGCCATGACTATGTATTTAAGGTGTATGTTTTTAAATTTATGTTGTGTTAAAGGTCGTCTTTCATTCTCTTACTAGTGGTATGGCTGCTTACTTTTTTTTTTTTTTTGAATCTGGATGCTGTTCATCGTAAATTCCTTGATATGTGGAAGGAAGTGATCAGGTCCTATGATTCATGTGACCCTGGCTCCTCAGAATGATTCCATATCATTATTTTCTGTTCTGTCTTTCTGTTGATGACCCAGCCCCATTCAATTCCTGTATATGATGCACCTTAATGGCATATAGTCATGGTACTGTTAAATCATGATGTCAATGAAAGCTAGGCAACACTGTCTGATAATGGAAAGGGTACAAAGAAACCTCCGTTCCAGTGTCCACACAAAAATAAATAAATAAATAAATACAGAGAGACTTATTTTTAACTGAGTCTTATTCTGTAAAGGAACTCTTCAAACCCTTCTTACTTCCATAGCTATATCCCTGCTGTGCCCTAGCACACCTGTGGTCAGAGTTGTTAGAATTTTATTCCCCTGATAAGTTCAGTGCTTTTTCAATTTGAAACTCTCTTGCTATAAGGCATCACTCCTTAATCACAGAAAGACGAAAATCTCTTTTTAATTTCCTAAGATTGCATGGCTCTAACAGCAGCAACAACAATCTGTACTGTTAAAGGTAGGTTGACTGTAATTTTTATGTTATTTTAATTGTCCATATTACAGTCCTGAGAATTAAGCCTAATTCATACCAGCTTTTCAAGAAAACCATTTCCTAACAACTCCTGCATTTAGGTCCTGGGACGTGAAAATTTATGTAAAGTTGACAGAGACTCTTCAATAGATCAAGAGTTTTGTGAAGAGTAGTATTGCAAAATATATTTATATTTTTTTTCACTTTGTATGTTAAATCAAGACAGCAATGAACCAAGAAAAACACAAGCAAAGTCAAGAGCATCCAGTGCTATTAGAGACAGTGTAAAAGCTTTTGAATGCTAAAAACCTGTCATCAGTAAATTAATTCAGACTGTTAGAATATATCATCTGAATTATTCTCCACCTGTGGACTTGTGTAATTAGTTACCAATGAGATTATTCATGAGAATACAGGTGTTACATGGACTGCCATCTTAATGAGTATGCTACCTATAGCCACGTGTATCATGTATTATTAGAATTCATAGGGTTTGAATGATGTCCAGTTTCTTCAGTATTTTAGGTTACACTTCCACCCTTAAAGCTAAAGATGGAGTCTTATTTCTCAGTACATACTACGTGCAGATACATGTATTGCCAAAATACTATCCACTATACAGTAGCTATGTTTTAGGTGGGCCAACAAATAAATACCTAGGAAGATAAGGTGTTACATACAGGAATTAAATCTGTCGTGGTTTAACCCAGCCAGCAGCTAAACACCACACAGCCATTCGCTCACCCTCCCCTCTCCCTCTCTGGGATGGGGGAGAGAAATGGGAAAGTAAAGACTGTGAGTTGAGATAAAGACAGTTTATTAAGACAGGAAAATAATAATAACAATAATAATAATAACAATAATGATGATAATAGTACTACTAATAATAATTTTGTACAAAACAAGTGATGCACAGTGCAATTGCTCACCACCCTAGCTCACCATGCCCAGCCTAACCCCGAGCAGTCCGGCCCTCCTCCCCCGGCTAGCCACCCCTATATATTGTTTAGCATGACATCAGATGGTATGGAATATCCCTTTGGCTAGTTTGGGTCAGCTGTTCTGGGTCTGTCCCCTCCCAGTTCTTGCTGCACCCCCAGCCTGCCCGTTGGCAGGACAGAGCAAGAAGCTGAAATGTCCTTGGCTTAGTGTAAGCACTGCTCTGCAACAATTAAAACATCGGTGTGTTATCAGCACTCTTCTCATCCTAAACCAAAACATAGCATTCTACCAACTACTAGGAAGAAAATTAACTGTTCTAACTGAAAACAGGACAAATCTTAACTGCAAGCATCAAGAATGGTGATCAGTGATGGCACACTAACCAAAGAACAACCGTGCATGTAAAGAAGTGATTTTGGGGTGGGTGGTTGTGTGTGGTTTTGTTTGTGTGTGTGGTGTTTTGTTTTGTTGTTGTTGTTTTTTACTTCATTAGTAGCCCTTTCCCCTTAAAAGGGAATAAACTGGTCTGTCTTAAATGTAAGCTAAATTTAAAATGGAATGCTCATTGGCATAATGTGCATATATATTAGAACACCAATAGCATATTTTCCAGCATATTGTAATTGATATAAACTAATGGATGTCATGACAAATTTCAGTTATGTCTAACAAGCTTCACGTGGAAAGAAGAATGATATGGCTGTACACACTCAGAACTTAATAGCTTTTAGAATTTAAGGGTATTTAAAGCATATTTGTTACTGTATTTGCAAGGGGCATATTTTTATTTTCTTCAAAGATACACTTTTACTCAAAATTATGAAATAATGAGCCATAGAGCTTGTTGGAGTAGTTACAAAAGGGTCTATTTTCACTTATTTTAAAAAAGATTTCCAACTAAAAAGGAAACATCTTTACCAGAAAAGATCCAAAATAATGTAGCATGAATGAATTAAAACATTTATGAATGATTCTTACATCTAGTCATTTGTCACTGGAATATGTATTTGCAGAGAAATAAAACTTTTCAAATAATCCTACTGAGAACCTTGGAATTTGGAAATGTGTCAGAAGAACTTGAAATCATTCACATTATTATAAAAATATAAATATATATGTATATATAAGGTAGATGAAAGTAGCAGATAATAGACTTACACAATAGTCAGGTAAAGTCTTTTCAGTATAGCAAAATTGTGAAATTACTGTACAATATAAAAAAAGATTCAGAATGATGGAGCAGTTTAAGAATATTATTAAAAATAGCTTGAACCAATTTTAAATTAATTTATAAATATTAAACAGTTTGTGGCTACTTGTTTGGGATTTTTTGCTGTCATCTGACAGCATTTGCTGTCCTCAGGTACTTTTAATGTGAATTGAAAGCTGCTATTGACATACAACACATTGCAAACAGGTACTGGTTAATACACCATTTTCAAAAAAAAAAAAGTCATAAACCATGCAAGTTTCATCTATCAAAGGGAATAACTGCAATAGTTGTGTAGGAGCAAACATTACCTTAGAATGACTCCAGAATTGTGAAGGTATACAATGTATTCAGGCAATATTAACTACTTAATCTACGATTTTAATGTTACTCAGTGCCAAAATGCATGTTTTTCCAAATAGCACTACAATGAGGCAAAGATAGTCCTTTTCAAATTGCAATTTACTTGTCATATTATAATCTAAACCAATTTCAACACTGGTTTGTTTTGTGTGAAAACTGTTGCACTATTTTTGGCCGTATTTTTCAGCAGTCCACTGCATGCCATTTGTGTAAGGATTCTTTCTCTAATTCTTGTGAAGTGTCTCACCTGTAATAACCACTAAACCCTAGCATTGGAATCTAGGTTTTTCGCAAAGTATTTTGTTACCTCAGTCTTGTATCAATTTGCTGTATTTTTCAGCTTGTTACATTGATAATGATTGTTTCATTAATTAAATACTTCAAGGTTAAAAAAAAAAAAAAAGTTTGTTTACTTTGACAGCAATTACATTTGGTTGTAAGTTTAAAAATGTGTGAAGTGTGTATGCTGTTAACAATAAAATATTTTAAAAAGGAATAGTAGAGGTACAGAATGAATTTTTCAGCTCAAACACAGCCAACGTTTTATTTGTGAATGAATGGTAATACAATCGAACAGATTTTATAGTGCCCACCATGCAGCCATTTGATAGCTTAAATACAACAGAATCATAGTTTCTAACAGAAAATTGAAAATTCCTCCAGATTTTCAGTTCTGGGTTTGGAAAGTCCAAAGTAGAGACATTTATCGTAGTGTTTTCCAAATGAAAGTATTTAATCACAGCCAAACACGCATATTGACTTGGACAGCAAAGTAGATTTATTTGCACTTATCATTAAACACTATTTAGACACCTGGGTTCCCATTTCCTGTCTGCTGAAATCAATAGGACGTTATATTTCATCCAGTAATAAAACTATCTGCCCTACATTACACAGTATATCAGTTTTGACATTTGTAATAATACCTTCTGGTTTGAGATCTGAAATATTCTTTCTTATTTCAGTGATGAAATCAGGGTTCACTCAGAACCTTGAAACACTGAGCACTGATAGGGAAATCATAATAATCAAGTATTCAGTAGAAAATTCTCTTGGAGAAGACCAACATGGAAGTGTTGGCTAGGGTCTGTCCTTTTCTGATAATTTTTTGTGTTATAAGCACCATTGGAAGCAGGCTTCATATTGTGACTGGTAAGTAGGGTGTTTTAGCTGTAGAATAGTAATTTTATAAGAAATTACCTGAGAGATGAGACATTACCTAATGTGAATGTAAGAGCAAAGCAAGATAGCAAAATAAATAAATAAATAATAGCTGCTTTCAGGGCTGAAAATGAAAGCACATATTCTTTTCCTGAAATTGACTCATTTTCCTGTTTTCCCCCAGAAACAGGAAGACTTGTTCAAGACTTTAGTACTTTGTAGTCTTGGAAATCACTTGGATCTGTACAGTTTTCCTCCAGGGCTATATCCAATGTTTGATTATAAATATTTTATAAATTAAGCATCAGTGAATCTCTTACATCTACCAAATGGTTCTTTTCACTGATAGCATTAATAGAAATGGAAGAAGGAAATTTGAATTCTTTTCCCAGTGGGCAAAAGGATAGAAATTACACTAAAAAAAACACATTAGGAAGGAAGAACAATTATACTCATTATACTCCAGAATGTCATTGTATTATACAGAGGCAAATTTCATGGAGAGAGAGAACTACTTTCTACATTGCAGTATTTCACTGTAATGCAACATGTTTCTGTCATAGTACACCTAAGGATGAGTACTGAAGAGCTCATTAAATGTTTGTTATGTCCAAGCTTCTTGTTTTGTAGTCTGAGACGAAAAAAAAAAAAAGTTGATTGTTCCTACTTCAGATGTCAGGCATCAGCGGGTGGTATGCAAGTGAGGTATTGAGGTCACTGGCAAATTATGTTCATTTTTTTTTTTCTGAACTCATAAAAAGATTGTTGTGGTATTTCTATAGTTGTGATCTATTAATAGCAACATTTATTTATCACATCCTGAAAATACGCCAGACCTTTCCTTAGGGTGCAAAGAGAAAAGAAAGTTAGTCAAAGTTTGTGTCTCTGTAGACCTCAGATGTGAAAGCAAGTCAGATAAGCATATTGGAAAGGATGAAAACTCCCATTTTATGTCAGCTCAGCACAGTTGTTCATGAGGAAAGTGCAGATAGTAATGAATTGGAGGAAGTAGCCTTTATACTTCTGGACTTTGTAGACTTGCTCTTACTGCCAGAAATCAGCTTTTCAGCTTTAAGGAAGAGTAGATCTAGTTCCAAGTGATTATTTGGTTTATGTGATCCATGGTTTGGGTTTGAAAGTGTGCAGTAGCTGGAAAATCAGAAAACAAATTCATTCATTCTGGCATCTGTACAGAGAAAAGTCTATGCAATTTTGCAGAATAAAAAAGTAGACAAACAGATAATTGATTTTACATGATTTTTTAATTGATACCACTACCTTAATAAAGTAAATATAACTTTTGAATATATGAGAACACTTTAGACCTCTAGAAACGCTGGCAATTATTTGTAGCCAAATGGTTAACATTTCCTGAAGTAATACAAAATATTGATGTGAACTTGTTTGACACAAAAGTATAAAATGGATGTATGCCTTGTCTGTTAGAGGGTGATGTCATGGTCTTTCACAGGGCACAGAAGACTGAAAGTAGAAAGCAAGGGAAGAGGCAGCTTGCTATATAGAAATGAATGGCTGAAGATTCAAAAAGATTTTTTTTTCTTTTAGGTTGCAAAGTGTCCTTTGCTGCTTTCAAGTACTGCAATAAATTTAAGCCTAACCACTCCTGTCTGCATTGTTTAGTAGTGCAATTGTGCAATTACTTTATTTCAACAAATATGTATCATTTGGAGAATGGGAGGGAATACAGTTTTATTTCATAGACCATGTGACGATAAGACCTAGCATTTCCTGAGCAGTGAATGTGCTGATTTACCGTTAGGGGAAGCATCTGTGGCTATGCAGTTTGTTAGACATCTTGGAGTTCAAGCTGCCTTTGTCTTGCTGCCTACTCTGTGCTTTGAGGAGGCAAAGAAAGAGGGAAAATCATTTAATGTCATAGCTAGCCAATGTCTGAACCAGCCCTTAATTTATTGCTATTCCATGGCAAGGGCACATTGGCTTCAATCAATTGTCTCACTTTGGAGAAGGACAACAGGATGCTGTGACGTTGTAAAAGGTAGGAAGCAAAAAAAGGCTAGATGCTAAGGTGGAGTATGTATGACGCAGGGGAAACTCAGATGGTGGCTGATTAAGGCTCTCAGTTAAGCCTTAAGATCATTGTATAAAACTAGAAGCATTCT